TAGAAAAAGCTGGAAATGTGCCAGTTAGAAAGAAGCCTATGGACTCACACGTACAAAAGTTCACTATGTTATGTCTTTGTCAACACTTTATTATTTATGAAACTACTTTATAAATTGTGTATACAAACACTTTATTAAGTAGGTCTTCGTAGGTGTTTTATAGGATGACTAAAATGTTTAGGAGGTTATCAAAACTATACACACAACTGAATTTTCTTTATATAATTACATATTGAAGTGGTTAGAAAACAGTTTTGGTGTTAAAGATGTGTGTAACAAAATATTATGCTACAATGACACAAACTTATTCAAAACCTTCTTTAACGCACGAATAAAATTACAGTAAGTCGGTACTTTCATAACTACTCAATTATACGTATTAAATAATACGCATCTACCATTCCTCAACGGCAGATAAACTGGTATTGTCACAACTACTTAACCAGCTAAACACAATAAAAAAATTATCAAATTGACACCGCACATTTACATACATCTCAGTCGTTTCAAAACCACAACGACACTACACCAAGAAAAATGGCATCTACAGAAAAATTACAAACTATAACCTTCCAGTTGTCACAACAAGCAAATATAAATAATCACTTCTTTCATATGATGGATAACTGATCTAATTATTTCTACATCGTAATCAGTATACGATTGATGACTCTGCCCATCCTTCTGGCCTTGTCTTTCTTTCCTCTTGGCCCTTTCCCAACTAGGTTAGCGTCGGCTTTGAGCCTGAACTAGTCTAGTTGAATATTTGCACAGCTAAAAAGGAAAATACCACGGTCTCCGTTAGACTCATTTGGATATTTTAGTCAAAGTCAAAGTCAATTAATTCAATTAAACCATAGTTTGGTACTTTTGAAACGTCAACAAATACAAAATAAATAATAGTCTGTCAGTCAGTCCGTCAGTGAAACTAGGTGAAGCTAGGTGCTCATTCCAAAAAGTAGATTCGAATGGAGAACAACGAGCAAGAAACTCCATTCGTTACTCTTTTTAAAAATAGTATGTTCTACAATGTCTCTGATACATATTTCAATACTGTACGCATATGTAAGAACAATGCAAAGACATGCTTGACGAATTATACCAATAACTTACTAAAATTAAAAAAATATATAAAAATCTTGAAGTCCAACATGGTGCTCACATATGCATACTGACAATCCATAGAATTAGTGCTTCTATACAAGAAAATGATGATGATATGTATCATCTGCAAAAAGCACCATTCTTGGTTCATTTTTAAATATAAATGGCAAATCATTTATATAGACTAAAAAGAGAAAGGGACCCAATATTGAACCTTGAGGAACGACCATATTCATCCCAGAGCCCTGTGAGTTAATACCGTTAACATGAACCTTTAACTGTCTCTCTTCTAAATAAGATCTCATAAGACGGAGCGCAGAGTTTCTTATCCCGTAGTGATCTAATTTCAGCAAAAGTGTCTCATGGTCAACGCAATCAAATGCTTTTGAGAGGTCACAAAAGACACCAATAGCATCCTGTGCTTCCTCCCAAGCACCAAATATTTCCTTAATCAAAGTGACACCGGCGTCAGTTGTACAACGACCTTTAGTGAAACCGTATTGTTGTTGGTGAAAGATGGAATGTTTATTAAAATGATGAAGCATCCGAGACAGCATCAACTTTTCAAAGACTTTGCTGAGAACCGGCAAAACAGACACTGGCCTATAGTTGTCAGGTTCTTTAGTGTCACCACTTTTAAATAGTGGGATAACCTTACTATATTTCATTAGGTCAGGGAAAACACCGTCATCTATACATTTATTGAAAATCACAGCCAGATATGGCGCTACAGTTTGGATAAGTGACTTGCAAACTATTACCGATAAGCCCCAAAGATCCTCCATTGATTTGGTCTTGATTTCTTTAAAAACTTTTATAATTTCTAGAGGATTCGTATATCGAAAACTAAAGTCGTCTTGACATGATTCTATGTTGTTCTTAAGCAAAGTTACAGATACAAGTTCAGTTGTTTGAATAGGAATGTTAGTAAAAAAATTTTCAAACTCCTGGGCTACATCTACGTTTGATGAAATCTGTCCCCTTTCGGTATTTAAATTAAATTCTGAGTTTCTTAATCTTTTCCTACCAAGACTTTTAGACTCTGACTAGCTTTAAGGACATCCTTAAAAGTTAGGAAAATATCGACTTAATTTCCTTCATTTCATAATATAACTTTCGGGGTATGAATGACGACACCCACACATTTTAATCGCCTGCATTGTATATCAAGGAGTGGTATAAGCTAGAAATCGCCACGTGGTACAATTCTTGCAAACTTCTTTTCTTTCTATCGTATATATTCATCTGGTCATGTAAGCACACCGATAAAGAATGCATAAACGAACACATATTACTTTAAGCAAACGTGGATAACAAACCTACCAAATATATTGGTAATTATACTTTACCCGTCGACATCATACCCTAGTGCCCTAGTCCTTGGCTGTACCACGAATGGGACCCAATAGGGTTGATGCCGATTCAGAGTTGCGAAGACCTAATGGGTTACCGGGGCTCCGACTCGAAGTGCAGGAAAAGGAACGGGGTGGTTTTTAGTCAGTAAGAGTCTGACACTCCCTCCCGCCTCACCCAGGCAGGAGAAGTCATTCAATGATTCTCCCCCCATAAAAAATAAAAAAAGTCCTTGGCTGTACCTAGGTTACCAGCTTCGTTCGACCTCGTCTACCATTTCATAATGTTTATTCACTTGTTGCTTCCGCTAGTAGACCATAAATAAACTGTAAATAATGTAAACAAGAGCATAACAAACTCGCAACGCTGAAATCTTGGCGTATAAATCACAATAAATATGTTCAGTATCGCGTTCCAAATGATAGATGGCACCGCTGGCGACGATTTTAAGTTTTATGAAAAATTGTGACGTTTTCATTGTGTTTGTTTAGTGATTTATAATTTATATTATAGGAAGGAAGTTATCCATACTAAGAAGTATTTTCAAAATATTAACTCGATCTGAATTAGAAGAGTTCTATTCAGTCCAGTTTTATTTACTTGCACGCACCTAGAATTTCGCCATCATTAAAAGAGCAAAGTAAGTAGGTAAAAAGTAAATAGCCCAATATGTAATTACTCTATCGACTACTTCCTCATCATTACAATTTACATAGGCTTCCAACCAATGAATTCCAAATCCGCCTGTTGGAAGCCAATTACTACTACTAATACAACTACTACAACTTGAACCCTTAAAATAATCATACATGAGTAAAAATATAATATAATGATCATAAAAGAAATGTAACATTTTAGTCGCCACTCTATTTTTAGTACCCAGATAGCTAATAAAATGTTACTTGGCATAGTGGGTTCATGTTACAACACTAAGTTTGAATGTCTGCTTTTACACGCTACATACTATAATAATACACTTAAGGGCATTGTTTTTATTAAATAAACTATTGAATAAAAATTGATAAAAAAGGTGCTACATAATTTGCAGGTAATTAAGTAAGCAATAAATTTTTTGTCATCGTTACCTCTGAATTTTTATCAGGATTTGTTACTGGAGTATTTTTTTATTCAGTCAGAAGATACTAAATTCAAACATATTATAATTATTTATTGTCTCACACAAACATATTCCCGTTACAGCAAAATGTTTATGAAAGCGCGCTGTGGTCTTTGTGCGTGTGTTATATGGGCGAATTTGCGTGAACAACATGTTCAATAATGTATAATGGTAACCGAGGCAGGCGAGAAAACCCGTAAGTATTTATGTTATACCTACAAACGTTTTACGAATAAACTACTTTTACGACATACTTTGCGTATTTTAAATGCAAAGTTGAACGCCTCCTTTTACGTAGGTAGGTAATTTTTATACGTACATTAAGTCGGAAAACAGAAGGCTGTTCACCTAATGGAAAGTTGTTACAGTATGGGTTTACTTGGCTTGGACATTTTTCTTTTAGATTTTTCCAAGCACACTGTGTAAGTTAGGATTAGTTTAGAGTTAAACACGATTCACTAGACAAACAGAATACGGCGCTTATTTTGCTTTAAAAAGGTGGTTTTAGGTTTATAACCGCACCAATTTCAAATAGCGCCATATGTAAATAATTGTAATAAAATAAGAAATGTCTGGTTTATAAAATAGCAATTAAATAGGTCATTAAGTATGACGCTGGCGGTGGCATAACTTTTCCTACACGTTTTTCATATTGGGCATCACACATGACGAGATCCTCAAAATAATGCTTTCTTTACTTTACTTATAAAATAACAAAGAATGAACTGAATACTACTGATTGAACACAATTAATGGAATAGGTACAGTGAGTTTAGTAAGTTGTGTTGCGATCCCCGCGACTTCCCGGTTGACAATCTGTCAATGTCCTCCGTAAAAATTTCGCATCACAACTAAACACGCTCAAACAATAATTAAATCGACTAAAAAAGTGTTCACACTAATTGCTTGACATTCCATCATCTACACCTCTATAAATGGGTACTATACAACAAGAATGTCATTAAAATAGTTTTCCATGCCACAAATAAGTATTGATCTCAATAAAATCTTGGTCAACAGTCAGATTGAAAAGTGAATTAAGGGTCAATGGATGTCACTTTATAGTTAGAAAGCTCCTTCTAAAGCATTGATTTTAGATCAGTACCACAGGGTTTTCATTCGAAGTGAAATCAGTGAAAAACAAATGTGACATTACTAGCACAACTTATATTATACTAACTTAAGAAAGGAAAAGTTGAATAATATTGTCAGTATTAGATCGTGACCAGTGAACCCGTCTATTGATATAGGTAATCCAACTGATGAGCAGAAATGAAATGCGTTTGATTAAAGATACCGGCTGAAGAAGTGTAAAAATCAGGTATAAAACTGGCGATACAATCGAGCCATATTTTACACGAGGCTTACCAAATACCCATGGGTAATCACAGTAAAAAGAAATTATTGCATATTAACGTTGGCTTACCGCAAGTCCTCGTTTCCGTGGGGTGGTAGAAAAGTTGTGAGTAATAACTTGCACAGAGGGCATAGCACCATCAGGCGTTGACAGGATTGCAGGGCCTCGGCACGGGCGCTGCTGAGCTGGTCGAGCAGCTCCACCTCCTAGCAGCCACATGGTTGATATAACATTAGACTCTGGAACAAACAAGACTTTCATTCATCCAGATCCATAATCTCTTAATGGTTCGTGTTAGGCAGTAGATATATATCATAGGCATAAACATAACGACTTTGCATTACAAATTATTTTTAAGGTAGGACGAAAAGTTTTTAACTTCAAAATTAAATCAAAAAGTTAATGATAAATCGAGAGATTATTATGATAAAAGAGAGGGAACAGTTGCTCAATTCTTAATTAACATTGTATTAATTCTATTATATACATGATGTATGACAAGCGCAGACGATTCGAAAATGACTGCTCCGCACCAGCTTTACGAAAACCAAAACGTGATGATGATCGCACATGTTAATAAGCCGTTAATTTTAATTACTAGTACAAAAAACAGCAGTGACCTCTAAAGACCCATCATAACGCAACTTCAGATAAAATTATGTCCATCAGCGGTCTATGAAACACCAAAGTTCGCAGATATCAGTAACTAAGATATACGACACTAACTTTTTTGGAAGAACCGGGCAAAGCGCCATATTCGGGTAGTAAGTAAAAAATATTTTCGCTAAACGTATCATAATTTTTTATTTTATTTTAGTTTTATTTTACGTATTATAAGACTGTAATAATATAAGATGGTATATCTAACTTTTACTAATACTAATAACCGTTTTGCTTTTGAGTGAGGAGTTGATTATATTGAACTAGGCACAGAACATATAAACGATTTTTTTGTTTTCTATGTTCTGTAGAACTAGGCTTGGCTGTTGGTTGTATCTACAATAAAAAAGTTAGCTAAAAATTAACTGTCTTGTAGGATGCACTAACGACTTCTTACGTGCATGAACAGTTTGTATAATTAATTATTCGTGTATATAATTATTATATTATGTAACAAGAATGCCAAACGAATATACCTCTAGTAGTAATTTTTTCCACATAAAAGATCATCAGATATTTTAAAGTTTTTACAAAAACGTATTGTGAAAAATTTGGGTGTTCTGTTAACTTTATTCTTATACTTAATTTTTGACAATCTGACCAGTAATGAGCTCCAAAGAATACTTTCAGCGATAACTTAAAAAAGGAACGATAAACAAAGCTTGCTACAAAATGGAAGACCAAAGGCGATAACTTAATGACATAAATTAAACGACGATGTTCACGTGTCACCGTTGTTTCAAGATACTATTAATAAATATTTTGACATCCCTATCGAGCGACTAACTGCCAAATTCCACCCACAAGTGAGACTCTAGTGGATTGACAAAAAATTACAAGAACCGACCAATTAAATTATTGCTTCCATATAATAATTCGAATAATTACATTTAAGGTCAAAGTCCTCTGCCAACGCATAACTATTATGACGTAAGCATACCTACATGAATATTCATTTAAAATAGTATTTACTTAATTGTTAGGTACACGTTTACGACTGAACAGTACCTACATACGTGGCCGAGCCAATTACAGGAGTCCTAAGGACAAAATACACGCGACATTTATATTCGCTACCACCTATACAAATTAATCAATTTACGGCGCAATTTGACCTGGCTTATCAAGCATCGCTCATCGGGAAATGGTACCACGCCTTCAAGTCTGAGCAGGCTACCGGCCACCGTAATTATAGAGTTGTTGATTACTAGAAAAGAATGCATCACTAAAGCTGCACCCACTTCCCAAGTAAATGTCAAGTTATTGGAAAATTTCTTGAAGTTCTTTAAGGAGAGCCAATTCAATATGCTAATGACCATGTTGTACCTAATTATGCTAAGGGTTTCATAGAAAATAATATATTCATCAATCATTTTCTATTCTGTAAAACTTCACTCCACTTATTGGCATTTTCTGCTGGACAGGTTTCATATCTCTAATGGTTGAATAAAAATATTTTCTAATTTATTTTAACATTGAGTGTGTTTAGGGCAGAATTGAAATCAATTGACTAGTTATTCTTTAACCTTTGCCTCATAGCCTCTGTTGTTTTGCAATCCCTGAGAACTATTCCAGTTTAATTTGCTTACCAATTTCTTCGAAAATATTAAGGTGTGTCCACATCTAGCGAATGTGCTGCAAACGTGCAACTCGCGAGCCGTTTGCGGGATACCTGCGAGCTTCGCGTGTGCATTAAAATTATTATTTATACGAAACTGGCATGAGTTGCTCTAAAGAGGCGCACTAAACCATTGCTGTGACGTCATATCCGCAGTTCAGGGGCAGCTCGCAAACGGCTCGCGAGCTGCACATTCGCCAGATATTAACATACATTAAAGTAAAAAAAAAATAGGACAGGTATTTTCTACAGATTTTTTTTTGTCCAAAGGTGCACACGTCTTTGGGTTCACTTCCTTAAAATTTTACAGTCTGTTGATTTCTCCTGTTTTTTTCAGAAGCGACAAAAATCAAATGTAATTCAAAGAACATATGTATCTATGAGCAATTTACGAAGTGAAAATCAAACTTCTTAAATGCTAAACCATATAACTTTTTGTCTTCCATTTAAAACCTTTAGGGTAAGTCATCATTGGCCTTTTAACGAATCACTTGAATATTGGTGTTATCCCGCACACTAATCGTAGATTATGGTAAAACCTCTTGTGTAGAATAAACCCAAAGTCTAGCTATAGAATGGCACCGGCTGTGAATGATGTAACAATAGTTTCTCAACTCGGCAATCTTTATTCTACTCTTTTAAGACCATATCTTATATTTTTTTACAAGATCTTTATGCGTATGCATCTAAATGAGTAGTGCAAACTGCAGCAAACTGTATAAATAATACTATGGCATAACACAATATTAGCTTAAAACCCTTCGTTATAACTCTAATTGACTTGCTACCGACGACCAATATTTGATCAAATATTTTTTTAATAATGTTTGACCCGTTGCCCTCAGAGGTAATTGGATACACAAACAGACCTTTGTTTTGATACGCAAGACTTGGTTATTAAACTTTGTGTGGCCAACATTGTGTATCCAATATCTAAGTCATAGTAACATTTCTTAGTGCTCATGCCAAAGGGTTTCTAGCAATCAGCCTTGGAGACTTACACGTGTCCGTTTACTTTTGATATCTAGGTACAAATCAAATGTACAAAATTGTGGTTGTCTTGCCATTATTCTGTCTAGTGTTAGGTAAAAGACTAATTTATTCATAGACACGTGTGGCAAAGGTGAGATTTCATCTTAAAAAGATTTTATCGAGTCTCCAAACTAATTTACCTGAGTTGTGAATCTAATCTAGCTTGAGGTTTTGTGCCTTTGTAATTACCAGCTTACACCACTAACCCATTACATTGATACCTTAGGCTCCTTATTCAACGCCAAGCACTGTTGTAGAAATTGCTGATTGCAGACAATATTTAAAATATTAATAAACATTTATGTTTTCTAGTTAGAGGCTTTGACAATAAATAATGATGGACATATAACCAGATGTTCAGAATCTTTACCCCTGCACAAAACAATAGAGCAAAAATAGAGCAATCACCATAATACACTAGTATTACCCAAAGTAATGGCGATTGCTCTCACCAGTTGCTACTAAGAAAGTGATTTTTCTTGAAATGTTTAGTTTTTGTCTTACGAAGTGTAAATGGGCCAAAACATCAAGGGAGTGAGTAAGCAAACATAGAACGCACCCATTACATTTTAAATATAGTATGTCAACTGCTTTGACATTTATGCCAACATTTCTTTATTGTTACTACGCCATTGTCTTAGTATAAAACATAATCGGTTACACAAAAGTATAAGTTATTCGCGAACGGTTCACAGATTCTCTCCTGAATATAAAGTACCGTGGAATCGATGTAAGTGTAATGGACGACGCGGTGGTCTGAAGTAGCTAAAGAAAAAGGAAAAAAACAATGCCTATAATGTACAAGTAGGTGGTTTCCTAGACTACTCTTTAACATTCTTTGGTTTTTTGTGTAGCTTGACCACAAAAACCAAAGTATTTTACATGCAAACGTTGCACTTCCCTGCGTGGCAGTTCACACATCATCTTGAGCGTATTGTGTGATAAATGGGACAGTTCAATGTTGGACTGCACGCGACTGTAAAGTAGAATAGAGACTTTTATTTATTTATATTACATTAAATTACTAACAACAGGATAAGATCATTGTTACTAACATTTTATGGACTTTTGGTCTGAAATAAATTATTAATGGCAACACCACGCAAAAGTCAACGTAAATTATTTTTCTCTGCTTTTTAAAATATAATTTACATATATTATTTACTTAAAACCTCGACCAAATCAATAAGAAATCAAAACAACACCTTTTCATATACCTCATTAATTTTACAAAATAATCACCATAGATCCAATACAAACGAAAAAATATCTCAAGATGCAAAAATGACAATGACAGCCCCAACAATGGAAATGATTTTAATAAAGCAGATTATGAAATTATGTTGACAAGAGCCAGAAGTAGACAAGGCGCACCCCCACCACCTCCGGATTCGTCGCTCAGCTCCGCATCGCCGTCGCCGGAACCCCGCTGCGCAGGATCGCCGGTGACTGCAGTTGCGTCGAGCTCGAGCGACGGCTATTTCTCCCCACCTACGTCACCACCACCTGTACGATGGCCGGGGAGAGGCCGGCCACCGACTGGCTTGGGAACCAGGGCCCATCAGGCCCTGGGACGGGTCCCCGCTACCGGTAGTTGTGTGCGCCGCATGAAATGGACTCAATGTATAAACGACAACGTCATGCGCGCATACTACGGTGCTACAGAGGGAGGAACTAACCTCACGGCGTACCGTGAAAGGATGCTGTCTATGTTTCAGGTGCTTGAGCCACCTGTCAACGTCTCGGCCTAACGACTCTCGGATCAAGTGCGGGTCATCCAACGCAATTGCAGATTGGATGAGGCAACGCTTGATCGGCTACGTCTTGAAGCACTGCGCAATCGTGTCGTCCCCGCAACACCACAATTGGTGGCACAGACGCCTGTAGTATCACAATGTGTGACACCAACTACCCCTATCGTTGGAGTGGAGGACAACAGGGTTGAACAAGTGAGTACTCAGTGCAATGAACGACTGGGGAGTGACTTTCTACTAGTAATTTAAGACCAAAATTACCACGTTTTTCCATGTGTAGAAAAAATAGGGCGCAGGCGAGCGCCTTGGATTCGCTACTTAAAAAATACACTTCCGGACACTTGAATCGAGCCACATTACATTCCGGGAATGTAATAACAAAAAAGTTTTTATGCATTTTTAATGCTCGCATATTTCATCGTCATCCCCGTATGTGTTCTTCCAAATTTGAATTTAGGATTTTAAAATAAAGAACAAAAACCGAGCTTGGTCACTGATTTGAAAAAAATAATGGCTGTAGAAAGTTATTTTTGAAGCAATTTAATTTCGATTTTGTTTGAATTTTCGCTATTTTTGTTAACCAAAGTTTAGTTTAGTTTTTTTTTCTTTAATTTGAGTCGCTTTTGGCTATAACAATATGGATACTTCACCTGAAGTAGCCGCGCAAGCTGTAGCACTTCTTCAATCTGGGCTAAGCCAGCGAGATGCGAGTTCACAACTTCTCGTAAGTCGTTCCGCTGTCCAAAGAGTGTACCATCCATACCTGGAGACTGGTGGCTTCGTTCAGCGAACAGGAGGACCTCGTTACCGGGTGACAACGGCGAGACAAGATCAATACATTGTCACTACCAGCTTACGCAATCGACGCCTTACCTCTGTTCAAATACAAGAACAGCTCAGGGACTTTCACGGAGTAGCTGCAAGTGCTCGGACCGTTAGAAGGCGACTCAATGAACGTGGTTTAAAGCCCTATAAGCCAGCCAATAGACCCAAATTGACACGAGCACACCGAATAGCCCGTTTAGAGTTTGCGCGCGAACATCTAAATTGGACTCGACATCAATGGAGCCAGTTTCTCTTCACAGATAAGTCCAAGATAATGTTATACGGTAATGACGGAAGGAGTAAGGTATACCGAAGAGAGAACGAGCGTTTCGCGCAATGTTGTATTGACGAAAGAGTGAGTTATGGTGGAGGATCAAGGACTGTCTGGGGAGGAATCTCTATGGAAGGCAAAACTGAGCTAGAGGTAGTAACGGGAACACGACTGCCGCCCCTAGATGGCAATAGATACATTCGCCAATGTTTAGAGAACCACGTGATGCCATATGCTGGATTTATTGGCCAAGATTTCGTTTTAATGCATGATAATGCAAGGGCCCATACTGCGGGAATCGTCAGGCAGTACTTAAATGATATTGGTATCACTGTTATGAGATGGCCAGTGCGAAGTCCTGATATGAATCCTATAGAGCATCTATGGGATAAGCTGAAGAGGCGTTTTCGGGCTCATCATCCTGCCCCGCCAACCACGGAGGAGCTCAAAAATGTAATTTTGGAAGAATGGGAGGACATTCCTCAACATGTCATAACGACATTGATTAATTCTATGCCAAACCGTATGAGAGCTGTCAAAAATGCACGGGGAGGCTATACAAGTTACTAAATAAACATTACTTTTCATTTAAAACATTTTTTTATTTAAAAATCGATTAGATTTTTTTCTTTGAAAAAAACAAATATGGACTTGTTTCAACGTAACTCGACTTTTTTAATAAACTGTAGTTCAAATTTAGAACAGTGGCACTCTAAATGAATGTTGATTAAACCAGCTCCAAAACTGCATCAAAACATTTTCCTTCTACATAGATTTTTTACAAGTTACAGTACTCCAAACCAAAAAAATCAAGGTGGC